ATTCCTCATGTTGATGTGCATCTATAATGAGTTGCCTAAATGCTTCATGAGTTGAATTGTTGAACATGCTTAAAGGTGTCTTTGAGAAAAATTGCATAATTTGCTTTCTGATGTTGTAATGAGCATGATGTGAGTTGGAGAAGGAAATTCCTCCGATGAAATGAGATATGTTAATGTTCGTGCATAATGAGTTTGTAGATGTAGTTCCTACTTCCTTGTGTTGCATTGAGCTTATTGATGTGGAGTTGATGTTAATTTCCTCCTAGGTTTGTGTATTGATTATGATGTTGCATGCATGATGGGTGCTAGTCTTGAGTCTTTATTTCCTTTAAAGTGTTTAAAGTGTCATTCGACGCAAATGTTCCTAAGGGGGAGATAATGTAACGACCCATAAAACGAATAGGTGAAACTAGAGCTTAACTAGTGTGTGTTTAAATTTTATATGGGGTTTGAAGTTGTTAAATGAGTTCACGAGCTTAGGTTGAGGGGTTTAGGGGTTAAAACGTTAGGGTACGACTCCCCAAGGACCAACTAATTAGGGTCCTTGAGGAGGACCCTAAAGTCTAACCCCCAAAGCTGCCAAAATACCAAAAGTTGTCAAAAAAGTTGTGACCTACGCCCCGTAGGTTCATTCACACCCCGTGAATCCATAAGTAGGTCAAGGGCCTAGATGAAAAGCTCCAGAACCAAACCATGAAGTGCCAGTATGGCTCGTGAACCCATCCACGGTCTGTGGGTGGCGTTTCGTAGGTCACCACTGTGTTGTTGTCCAATTCGGCCAAGTGAAGGGGCAACTTAGTAAATTCCTTTTAAGATTAGTTAAGTTAGGGGATGGTTATTATTGATTAATTAAAGTATTTAAAGGCTTTTAAAAGTATTAAAACACCTTTTTCAATTCATTATTCCCAAACACTCAAAAAAATTAGAAACTACCTCTCCAAATATTCTCTCTCTAGAAACCACCATTGGAGAAGAAGAACTCAAGTTTTCAAGCTCAAGATCTCACCATTCTCACTCAATTTTCCTGGAGTTTCTTCCCTAAAGGTATGGTAGTCTGTACCTTTATTAAGTTTCATTCAAGGAGCCCTATCAAAAGATGATTTCAAGTCTCCAAAATCCCCCAAAAGGGCTTTCATTCTAAGCATGGGTTCAATTCCAAAACGTTTTCAAAGGTTTATATATGATGAATTATGAATGGATTTTTGAATTAATGATGAATTATGGTGAATTTCTCCTATGACCCCATGTTTTCCCCAAAATCCTAAGTTTTGAATTGTGATTGTGAATTGATTGATCATGAAAGTATGTTGAATTGCTTATGTCTATATTGAATTAGTTATTGAATCATGTTAATTCCCTTATCTAGTGTAGTATTCTAGATTTTTGGGTTGAGATTGATTCATAGCCTTGGAGGGCAATTTCATGAAGGATTTATGTATGATTATGATATGATGTGTATGTGATCTCAATGAAAGTATTATGAACTTGTTTAGAATGTAAGTGTGTTATTATTGAAAGCATATTCTCAATTAACACTCATGAATGATGATGATAGAATGTGAACGGTTTCTTCTATGTAATATTACATCTTGAATTGGTAGGCTTAGGCATCCTCTTCTTGTGTTATGAATGTGTCTAGACTTAATGAACATGAATCGGTAGACCTAATGTTGGTAGCCCTTGCATGATAAGTCTATGACCTATTCTAATGATGTATCTTGGATCGGTAGGCTAATGGAACCCTTCCATAAATGATGTTAATGAACCTTGGGATCGGTAGGCTTATGGCACCCTTCCATAAATGATGTTAATGAACTTTGGGATCGGTAGTCTTATGGCACCCTTCCATGAATGTTAATGATGAACCTTGAATTGGTAGACTTATGGCACCCTTTCATGAGGATTCAATGAGCTACCTTAAAAATGTACCTTGAATCGATAGGCTTATGGCACCCTTTCATTGTCAACTAATGTACCTTGAATCGGTAGGTTTATGGTGCCCTTTCATGGGTTAATCAATGTACGTTGGGTTGGTAGGCCAATGGCACCCTCTCATGTGTAACGATGTTAAAGTAATGAAATACTTTATGGGAATGAAGGCTAAGCACCGAGTGGATTTGGTAAGATGGAAGCTCTCCCCACGTTTAGGTCGGGTTTCAATAAACATCTTTATTATCCCATAACTATGTGCCCACATATGATATTAGCTAGTGGTTCCACCTAAGCTAAAATGTTACCGGTTCTACCTTAGGTAGGTAGATCAACCCTTACGATGTGGGATAGTACATCGGATTCCATGGTTTGCTCTCATGGTCTATGTCGATTAAACGCTTATTCGCATCATGTGAGATGTGCACTATGGTTATTTGAGAGGTTCTATGAAGTGTGGGTGGTAGTATGGGATGTCATTCATGCATTGCACGATTAGGCCTTGAGAGGGCCATGGTGAGTTCGCTAATGTCTTAATGACTACTAAATGAATGTGCTCTTAATGAAGCTAATGAAGAATGTTGACTTATATGCTTAATGTAATGATGCATGCTTTACTTGGACTGTATTATGAGTTACTTTCCTTGTCATGACTTATGAAAGGTTTATGTTCCTTATGTATGAGTATGGCCTAAAGATGAAAAGGAAGAATGATAAGTTCACTTTTGGTGGCCTCAAAGTGGTACTTAGTATGGATGGTGGTATGGGACGCCATTCACACATTGCACAAGTATAGCTTAGGGTTACTTAAGGTGAAGGCTCTAATGTGAGGAAATGGCTTATATGTTGATTATGTTCTAATGTGATGAAATGGCTTATATGTTGAAAATGTTGTATCTTATGCCTCTTATACTTATGTTCATGAAGTTTTCTCAAAGGCATATTGTATGGTTTTCAACCAAAATGTTCGTTTTAAGCATGGTTTTTGCATGACTATCATACTTAGTACATTAAATGTGCTAACCCATATTTCTTCTATTTTTCTACAAAGTGTAGGTTCTGGCAAGTGAGTTGATTCTCTCTAGTTCAAGGGCTTGGTTTGAGTTCTTCCAAGGCTAGTGGTATGTCCTCATGGATTCGAGGACAAATGCTTTGTTGATGTTCCTTTTCTTCATTGTACTAGACATTTGTTAGAGTTCTATTGTAAAGGGCCGTGACCCTACTTTTGATTCAAAGATTGTTTTATATGGCCATGTGAGACAAGTTGACTTCCGTTGTTTTAAATAATGTTTTCAATTGTATGGGATTAAAAGACTTTTAAATTACATATTATTTCTATTATCTTATGTGATGGCATGCTATGAGGCTTGTATGAGACTTTTTGGAGTCTTGTACGCCGTGTCACGTCCGGGGTGTAGGCTCGGGTCGTGACACCCTCTTTGTCTTTCACGAAGGTACGAGTTAATTTAGATGTTTTAAAAAGTCGGGGTGTTACACTAAAATATTTTCTCTATGTTGAATTCTTAAGTAGAGTACTATTTTACCCAACTCATTTGTTACCCAATATATTTTTACCCATATTAAATATGGGCGGGTTGAATTATTACCCATTTTCAACCCGCCCAAATTTAACTCAACCCGCCCATTTGCCACCACTAGACACAACTAACAATAGTTGTGTGAGACCCTTAAATTTCTTACAAGTATTTTAATGGGTTGGACACCACATACTCTCGCACCTTATTTTTTCCCCAAATTCCCCCCTTTCCCTCCAAAGTATTTTAGCTCTTCTCCGTCCAATATTCCTCTCTTTTTCACACTTTTTTTAATTCTTTGCGCTCTTTATTAATTAGTAACTTGATTAGCTCTTTCTTTCCCATTAATCATTTTTGTCCCTCAACTAAATCAATATAAAAAATTTCCACCTCTCAACCAATTCAACTAAAACATAATTATTCCTCGTAGCCTTAGGAAAAAAAATCTTTGAAAATTTTCATTTTAGATCTCAAAAAATTGAATCAAGTCCCTAGGATACCTTTAAAAGATAAATTTTGAATGAGAAATTCACACACACTTTATATTTGTATTAACAAGTATTCACTGAATATAAAAAATTGAACTAAATAAAAATCTAGTCAAGTTGAATATTTCTTTTACTTCAATTTATTTTTAAAAAATTTGACATAATCAGTTTTGGTTTTAAAGTAAAAAATAGATTGAAAAACCACCAAACTTATTATAAAAATATTTCTCTTTATATAGTGTGTGTTGTGAAATTAATTTTTTGCTCTTTTTATTTGTAATCTAGGTGTTACCTTTATATAAATTTTATTTTATTTTTTCACTTTCTAATTTGATTTGTAATTTTATTGTGATGATTTTAAAAATTGATTTTATGTTCAAAATGACTTGTTTTTAGTCCTTTAATTATTAGTTAATTCAACTGTCATCAATCAGAACTAATTCTTAAAATAAAATTATACCAAAAAAAAGCTCACAAATGAGTAAGTGAGAGCATACCTATAAGTATTCTAAAATTACTTGTTCTTCATTTTTTTTTGAAATATTTTGTACTTGGTGTTGCACTTATTATTGAAATTTAAGTTAAAAGTCTAAAAATAATCGTCCAAAAAAATATATAAATCAAGAAAAGAAAAGACTATAATTATAATGGAGTTCAAATTTTTAATCATATTAGCAATCACGGGAAAAAGGGCTAAAACTTGAATTAATATTAATTTACATATTTCTATTTGACTTTTGGAAAATAAAAATGTAAGACTATTTAAAAGAAAGAGAAGTAAAATATTTATTAGGAGGAAAAGGGAGGAATTTGAAAAATGAAGAGTGTGGGTGTTAAAATGAGACCACTAAAACACCTGTCAAAAAATTAAGGTGCCTCACATTGGGTCTCAACCATATTAAAATTTTCTCACAAAGCAAAGCCATGGCAGCAGCTATGTAACTGTTGCCATTTTTGAAGGGCTCCCCAATCATAGACAGCAGATCCTTCTCACCTTTTCCTACTTTTCAGGACCTTTATATTTATGTCATTATTCTTCACACACAATTTTTGAGGTTAATTTGATGAAACAAGAAAATGAATCATCTCAGAAATTGATTGGTAATGAAATGAGAAGGTACCCATCATTCATTTTCATGTGTTCTTCATACAACCAAATTCATAATTTGTTTCAGCTTCCCTTTCTAGGGTTTGAAAAGAAAAAGAAAATACATTTGAAATGCAAACATTTTTGCATATACATACATGTAGGTGGTTTTTTTTCCTTCCTTTTTTTGTGGGGATATATGCATGTATAAGGAATCATTTGTTTTTGTTTCTCCTATGGAAAAGGGAAAATAAAGAGAGGTGTAAAATATGAAGAAAATCTGAGCTGATGTGTGATGGGTTCTCTTTATTTCGGCTGGTAAAAATTGATAATTTTTTTTTTTTTTTGCCAAAATTTTCAGGGACTGAATATTTTTGCAGGGATTGAAACCCCCGATTTTCTTGGGGGAGAAAGAAGGAAAGTAGTGATAGCATTCCATATATAAAACAAATTTAAAAATATATGCATAAAATTTGATAAAAGTGGTGGTGGTGAGAGAAGGAATTTTAATGTGAAATGTTGGCATTGGTGGAGGGAAAGAGGAGGAGCAGCTGATGATGGAGCAAGAATTAGATTCAAAGCTTAGGATAGAGAACACTTTACCAAATCCTCAAAGATCTAAGAGCTTTGCATTCAGAGCACCTCAGGAAAATTTCACAATCCAAGATTTTGAATTGGGAAAGATCTATGGAGTTGGTTCTTATTCAAAGGTCAGATTTTAATCCTTTTTATTATGTCTTTATTCGGTATTTTGGAAGAAGTCTAGTTTGAGATTCTGCTCAACTTTTCCCTTTTTCCTTTTTGTGCTTAAGTGTGGTGATGTTCCCTGGTTTTATCATCTTGCTTTATTTTTTTGCTCATTATGGTTTAGCCTCCCTTGTGAGGGGTATGGAGTCTGGTATTAATTGAAATGTCGACCATGGATTTTCTTTTCATTTGTTATGTCTTACCATGCTTTTCGATATAATGAGTTATCTTGTTGATTTCGGGTGTCATTTTTATTCATCTTCAAGATGTCTTTATTCATTTCTAGCTTTTCTCCATCATTCTCTTAATAGTCAATAGTTGAAAACAGCTAGTATATGTTTTTGTAATAAAGTATCTGCCAAATGTCTCGCACAGAAGGAAAACGGAAAAAAAATGAAGAGTAGCTATTTGTTGCAGAAGTAGTCTCTTTTAGATTAAAGAATTTTTTTTTAGTGAGTTCATCTTTGAGATGTGTTTTAGTTTTCAAGCAATTCTTGGTGGTATTAATTGGTGATCACACTCCTAAAGCAGAGGTCCAGTTCAGGGATTGTATTTCCTATTGCACAAAACTGTTGAGGGTCGTCTTATTAGCCTATATTAGTAACTAGCAAAACTCTTCTTATATGTGGTTTTTCTTCTTTCACCCCTCTTGCTTTTCCACTGGGTAAATAAATCATGAATTGTTATTGTGGTTTTGGATACAAATTGTGTACACTATCAGGTTGTCAGAGCAAAAAAGAAAGACACGGGGAATGTTTATGCCTTGAAGATCATGGACAAAAAGTTCATCACTAAAGAAAATAAGACTGCCTATGTGAAATTAGAAAGAATTGTACTTGATCAGCTGGATCATCCTGGTATTGTGCGACTATTTTTCACCTTCCAAGACACTTTTTCACTATGTGAGTTTTTTTCACATATTTGCTGATATGTTTAGTATTTTGCACATCTCTTTTAAGGATATTTTTCCACTCTTTATGCCTGGCATTTCTTGTCGAATATTGATGTTTCTCCTTCTAATTTCATGTTACCCTATTGTGAAGACATGGCACTAGAGTCCTGTGAAGGTGGCGAGCTTTTTGATCAAATTACCAGGGTGAGTAAATGAAGAAATTTGATATACATGTTCTTTTAGTTTCTCCCATAAGCATCGAAAATCACAACATAAAACAGAAAAAAAAAATGTTATCACTAGTGAATCGCTTGTGGCATATTCGGATTTGTCTTGGTAACATATATTTTCTTCTTGAACTTTGTAATGTGGTTGACTTCCTGAATCTGATATAGCCTTCTGTTCCTTCTGGAAAGAACAATCATCTTTCTAAATACTCCTTGTCCAGTTATTCTGATATCATTGGCAGTGAAGGATTTCCCATTTCGGAAGTGTGTGAACAATTCCACAATCCACTACTATTCTCTTTTGCTTGGAAAGCCAGTAAATCGTTTCCTATTAAAATTTTATTTTGGTTTGTGCAGAAAGGTCGTTTGTCTGAGGATGAAGCACGTTTTTATGCAGCTGAAGTGGCAGATTCTCTTGAATATATACACAGTATGGGATTGATTCATCGAGATATTAAGGTACTTTTACTATGTGATTGCGGTGTCAACAGAATATTCTAGGACAATTTTGAAAGTTTTTATTTATGGCAGCCAGAGAACCTGCTACTCACTTCAGATGGACGTATTAAAATCGCGGACTTTGGCAGTGTAAAACCCATGCAGGATAGCAGAATAACAGTACTTCCAAATGCAGCATCAGGTATACCTTGCTTGTTGCGAGAAATCAGAATCATATTGGCACAAAATAGTGTATTTTGATGTCATTTTCGTTGCTGAATCAGTGCTCTTTCTTTCCTCCAGATGACAAGGCATGCACTTTTGTGGGGACAGCTGCATATGTCCCTCCTGAAGTTTTAAATTCTTCTCCTGCAACTTTTGGGTATGGACCCTTCCCTTGAAAAAGCCAAGTCTTTTTACTTCTTTCTGAATCTTAGCTGATTGGTATTAGTTTCTATACACTTTGATGGTATTGACTGAATTATGCATTTTTTAATGAAAACATAATCATTCCTTTTGGACGTGTTTTACCAGAAATGATCTCTGGGCACTTGGCTGCACCTTATATCAAATGCTTTCAGGATTTTCTCCTTTTAAAGATACCAGTGAATGGCTCATTTTTCAAAGAATCATTGCCAGAGATATCAGGTTCCCAAATCATTTTTCAAATGAAGCCAGAGATCTCATTGATCAGTTGCTCGTAAGTTATAATTCATCTTTAATATTTACTTGCATCTTGTGGTTCCTTCTTCTTTCTTCCCCCATTCTTCGTTTTGTCCTTTTCTGAAATGCATCTCGATTTATTATATCAGTTGATTAATACATCGATGAGCTTAGGCAAATATTTTTGACTAGTGCACTTTGGTGATTCGCTAAACCCTTTCTATTCCACGAGCATAACACCAGCAATATACACCACTGGGCCTTATTTAATGAAGGATGACTTTTGCATCTTGATTGACATAGGTTTCTCTTTGTGTAATTGGATTATATGAGCTTGCAACCCCTAAGCCAACCAAAACTTTGGCTTGGTTTACATGTTCAGGTTTTTTTTTGGTGTGCCCCTTAGACTTGAAGCAGGGATAAGATCTTAGATAGAAACATATTTGTTTGTCTATCTAGCTTTATGAAACATCCAATGCATGCATCTTTTTGCTATTTTGGGTCTTAGACTACAGTATTCGTGTCTGTAGGACTACATACCTTTTCTTTTTATGGCAGGTAGAGAGAATATTGTGTCCAACATGGCATGTATATGCCAATTCTAAAATAATGCAGAACACAATTGATAAACATCTTCAACATTCCAATAGAATGTAGTCTTAAAATTGCATTTCATTCCAAGTAAAAGAAGCACATAAATGTGCCTGTGTTTATATTTCCCAAAAATACACACGTTATACATTTGTACATATCAGAAAATCTCTTTTGCCTATTAACTTGCATCCAAACGACTCAGGATATTGATCCTAGCCGAAGACCAGGTGCTGGACCTGATGGTTATGCTTCACTGAAAAACCATCCTTTCTTTAGCGGGGTTGATTGGGATAATTTAAGGTTACAAACTCCTCCACGGCTTGCTGCAGAGCCAAAAGTATGGCAATTTTATTTTTATCCTTGAAGCTTTATCTAAATTTTCTTAAAGAGTTGATTATTTATAGAAGTATTAAAAGGGTATCTCAAATCTTCAGGGGCACTCTACTCGTAGCAGTGGTGAAGATCAAGATCCTTCATGGAATCCCTCACATATTGGGGATGGTTCAGCTAGAACTAATGATGGAAATGGTGGTACAACATCCTCTTCTGAAGTTGGTAGCGTTACCAGGCTTGCTTCAATCGACTCATTTGATTCAAAATGGTAGGTTTAACACCTGTGGGATATCTTAGCTGTTAACTCTTGGTTTTGACTTTTAACTATGGTTGACCTTGTGGTTTGTGTACAACTATACTTTGATATTTGTGTTTGAACATGTAAAAAAGTGTCGTATTCAACTTCAGATGCTCTTTATGTTTCCTAATTGGGGAAAAGGGAAGTTGTCTTTGCTTCATTAATTCGTTAGGATCAATTTGTAGTGCAAATAACATTGAGTGTCTTACATTAAGTTTCCCGTAGAAGCTTGTTCCTACTCTGCTAAGCCTATGTTGTAACATTTCAACTACTCTTCTGGACTTGGTAAGCGGGACATGGCAACCCTCAACTGCACACTTTATTATGGGCAGGTTCATGCACATGGATTGCTTTAGGCCGATTCCTTTGTTTTGTTATTTTGCGCAACTTTATCCCTCTTTCAGTCCTTGTGTATCAGTAATGCATGTCAACGTGTTTCTGGTGATGCATCAACAGGAAGCAGTTTTTGGAGCCTGGTGAATCTGTTCTTATGATTTCCAATGTGAAAAAGATACAGAAGCTTACAAGCAAGAAAGTTCAGCTTATCCTGACAAATAAGCCAAAGTTGATCTACGTAGACCCCTCAAAGTTGGTGGTCAAAGGGAATATTATATGGTCGGACAATTCTAACGATCTTAATATTCAAGTCATAAGCCCTTCACAGTTCAAGGTTTGCACAGTTAAGTCCTAATTGCCTGTTTTTGTTTTCTCAAGAGCCCCAATCAATTTTAATGATTGCTTTTGATAAATGAATTTTAAGTTAACTCTCAATCTTTGTATGTTCATGCATCTTGTGATCATACAGCCAAAGAAAGTTATGTCTTTCGAGGATGCTAAACAACGAGCAATGCAGTGGAAAAAGGCAATTGAAACTCTCCAGAACCGGTGATATCTATTTATCTGCATTTCGACCATACCTCTTTTAAAATGAAATGAAATTGTAGAGGGATCCAAAGCTGTTGGATTCTCCTACAAAAATACTTGTCAATATAAACTCAATTTACAGGTCTCCAGTATAGTACATAATCTTTTTTCTTCTTCTTTTTGATGAAGTGCACATCCACATTTCATTTGTATGCAAGAACTGAAAGAAGTTGGTGAATTCTCAGTTATTTCAAAACCACTCCTCACAATAGAGCTGTTTTTGACAACATAGATGCCTGTCAAATCAACATAGACCAAGTAAATATGAAATGGACAAAATAGTTTTTACTATTATTTTTTCAACTCAAAATTCATTGTTTCAGAATTATTTCGAGCACAAATAAAAATGTCATTTAATTCAGAGTAACGCATACATTATATTTTTGAAATTGCAAGTGATCAATAGGTATTATCTCTTGTTTAAAGTGTCAAAATGAAAAATTATGTCAATTTTAGGTATCTATTTATGAATTCAATCTTTATTTTTCTTTTGTTAATCACAACATGACACGAGAGATTTTGTGCTACATTCTTTTACAAAATTTTATTTTTAGTTTTATCTTTTCACAACAGATTTTTACTTTTACTTAAGAGAACTTCATTTTTATTTAAAAGATGTGAAAAAGTAATTTATTTTTATTCAATTTTGTAAGTAGCCCTAAGAGATTATTTTCATAGATTAATGACATTATGCAAAATATTTATTAAATTTCCTTGGATTCAAATTAAAAACTAGCAAATATACGAAGAATTTATTTTCTCAGATAGGATGTTCATAGTAAATTAAATAAAAGAGTAATCAATAAGGGCAAATTATTTTTTTATATTAATAATAAATAAGTTAAAAGAATGTTATAAAGAAATCAAAATGACGAAGATAAAATTATACGGAAGTTGGTGTAATAAAGTATAATTTAAGACATATCTCTAAAATTATCCTAGTTATGTTTCAATTACGATTTAACCAAAGTAAAAGGGGAAATATATCATTTAAGTTTGTGTTTTTAGAGTGAATACATCTCTTATTAAAAAAGTAAATTTTAGATTTAGCAAACATAAAAAACATATTTGTATGTAATATGTATATTTTGGTATACATATACAAAAAAATCAATTGTATAATTTGTTTCGGTATACATATACAAAAGAATCAATTGTATAATATGTGTTTGTATAAAGCGAGGAAGAGAGAAAGACAAAAGAAAACTAGCAGGGGACAATCTGTATTTGTATAATTATAAGTGTATAGGACGAAAATATATGATCCGAGAAATTATATTTATAATTTTTATAATTATTTACTATAATATTCATAAATAAAATATAAATATTTTGATAAATTTTAATTAACTTAAGTCGTTAACTATACCATTTTCTCAAGCACAACACTTAAATTTTAGCCCAATTGTTACAACCCTATGTCCATCAAAATCTATTACTTTAGTCTTAACTATCCTACCTCACATAAGATAGTCACACTTTAGCTTAATTGAATCACTTTGTTCGTGTCATAATAACTCTACTATTGCTTAATTGAATCCACGGTAGGTTGTTCATGTTCTAGGTGTTTGTCTATCGAGATACGTATGTCCTCAAAAAAAAATTTATTACTTTCAAAAACGAAAAATTGAAAAAATGAACCAAACTGACAATTATTTTTTCGTTTGGTTTGGTTTAATTTTAGAAATTTAAAAACCGACTAAATTGATTTGGTTTTGATTTTAATCAATAGTCGATCCAAACCGAACTATGGACACCCTAGTGATTACCTTTATGCCTCATATAGTTATAAAAAAAAATATGTCTAGATTATACAAATCCAAATGCATAATAGGTATCGAGTGTTTGATCATGCAATGACCCTTCATAGGTGAGTTTCTCCATCTACTTGAACAATTATTACCTCATTAGCTAATTTTTAGATTATTACTGAGTTAATATATATGATGGTCACTCAACAATCAATTATTTTCATAGAAAGTCACGTAACTTTAATTTTCAACACAAAAGTCAGTCAACTATGAGATCTTCGCCTACAAAGTCACTCAATCTATTTAATTATTTTTTTCATTAAAATTTGCTGACTTGAAATTTTTATTTCTAACTAAAATTTAAAGAAATAAACATATATCCTGCACCACTTGATCCGGCTTGCTAAAATAATATTGACCCTTTTATTTTAGCTTTATTCTCCAAAATTATTCTCTCGTCTCCTCATTCTTCTCCTCCGCGTTTATTTTTTTAATTCCTCAATTTCAGCCTCTTCATCCTCCTTTTAGTTAGGGGCAGCTCAATTTCTGATCTCACTTAATTATTCCCTCTTGTCTCCGGATTCTTTTTATTATTATTATTATTGATCATTAGCTTTTTTAGCTTTAAATGATTTTAAATGAAGGCAAAAGGATAAAGAAAAAGAGAACTCGCATATATTATTATCCGGTGCTTTTCCATGGATTCTCTCTTGATAAAATCTCACTGCATCCTGCTAATAATATTTTAATCACAATCTAATTCCTATTTAACAGACATTTACTAAAAGAAAGGCTGAAACCATAAAATAAAATAAAAAAGGCAGAGGAGAAAGCAGGAGAATAAAAGGGTTAATATTATATTTTTAGCAGTTTGGGTCAAACAGAGCGGAAATGTTTAAATGGATATATGTTTATTTCTTAAAATTTTAGTTAGAAGGGGAAGGGGATTTGCATAGAGAGACAACAAGTTGTGACTTGTGAATATCTAAAATGAACCTGTGTTATCTTTCACTAATTGATATGTTTGGGCATCAAAGACCATCTGAGCATATACATAAGATAAGAGCACCACAAGAAGAAGATAAAGCAGGAATTATGTAAGAAACTTATTCAATGACAGCATAGTCCCGGGAAGATAACAACATTCTAATAAGCAAAAGCCAATGATGCTGCAACCATGCTTACCAAAGGAACAGAAATGTTATCGTCTACCATTCCAGTTATAGGGAGAGACTCCACCATAGTTGCTATAAATGACACCAAAGCTACTCTTTCTACAGTTGAAACCCAATCCAACTGAAAATATCCCAACGCCGAGAAGTAATACAGCATCCTTTCACCATATGAAAAAGTCTAGTATCAGCATAAATGTTACAACAAATTCAATATCTAAACAAAAACAAACAGCACAAGGACCAAAACCTACCCAACCGATACCAGGAAACCGAGAACAAACATGGAGAGGCTACCAGCCCAACTTTTCTGTTTATTATAAGGTAATTTTGTGGACCCAAACCTTCTTCCAACAATATCAGCGATTCCTACATAGAACAAAGTTTAAAAAACAATAAGTGTAAAAAGTTCTCACCATAGACCAAGTGATATGAGCTTCAGCTCTTACCATCACCACCACACATCATTGCTAATGAAATTACTCCAACTGGTGACTCACGCCAAAAGAGAACCGCACACAAAATTAACACTAAAACATAATATAGAGGCCCTCTCAGCAATTCTCTGCAAGGAAATGGCTAAAACGTAAGAGAGGAATCAATGCCATGTATCTGTTGAACAAGGCGGCAAAGGGAACTTACTCTGGCTTTCCTTCCCTAGTAACAGATTTTATAAGCCCCTCATCAGTAGCCAAAGATAGGCCATGAATCACAAGTCTCAGGCAGTTTGTAAGTGGAACTACAGAAGCAAAGTAGCGAGCCCATCTTGATGCACTAATCTAAGATCTAAATCATCAGTAAGAACATTCAAAGATGGATCTGTATTCATCAATAATGACATAACAATACCTGAAAATCGGCCAGGAAGCCATAAAAAGCAGACCAGACAATATGTGGACCAGCTTTCTGCTTAAGTTCTGTTTCGATGAACGGAGGGGAAAATAAATATCACGAGAAACAATGAAAATCAAGTGATCGTTATAATGTGTTAAAAGAACCATTAGTGCTGACATCACACAAGACCACAATCCCTCTATCTTTTTCCTTTCTCCCTCCTCGCTCCCAAAAGAAAGTATCTTAACTATTCATAGAATGTTCTAATTTCTGTGAGCTTTTGCTTCATGCCTAAAATGTCTCACCCGTTTCTCTATTTTATTTTTGATAGGCCCCTTCCTCTATTTTTTTTTTTATAAATGTGGTGTCTGTACCAGCATTCCACGGGATACCTGCCGCCTTCCTCCAATAACAGGTACTAAGGTAACTCTATCCACCTAGAGATTTGAAACTGAGACTTCATGGTTCTCAACCCACAAGTTGTTGAAAGTTTCCTAGTCAAATCATTAGATAAACGAATAAATAATGGAATGAAGGGATCAAACTGAGTGAAACGGATATAGATGATTCATATAGCTAACCCAACTAATTTAGGATTGAGCGAAGTTGTATTAAATAAAATAAATAGGAATGGGACTTCCATGTTGGAGGTCTCAAGTTCGAAACCCCTTGCCAGCGAAAGCAAGGGGTTTGCCTTCTGGGTCGAGCTCGTCGCACCGGGCTTGCCTAGTGCAGGTTACCTCTCCTATGTGGTTTGCAAGCTATTGCATAGGAGCGAGGGTTTTACCCTGTGCGCACCCAAAGGGTAGCGGCTGCGGATTTCCCTTGTCATCAAAAAAAAAAATTCTTTTAGTGTAAGTTTGGTAGGGTGTATAAGAAATAGAGTGTATTAGTAATGCTTGTAGCAAAGATTAATTCTTATGCATTTTTTGGTTTGGTGTATTAAATATAGTATACATTGCATAATTTTTTGTGAAAATATATTTATTTATAAAGATACCCTCTACAAGTATGAGGTAAAAGATATTTAATTTTATTTTGAAGGGTAATTAAGTCTTTAATCAAGCTAATGCATGCATCAAAGCTCTTGCATTACTAATACAATGGATTTCATGTATTAACAATACAGACTTCAATACACAATAGGGTTGAAATAGTGTACCAAAGCTAATGCATAGAACATGGGCAACCCTGGTTTTACATTTCTTGAGAGACCAAGTCAATACGATTAAAATAAGCCCAATTTTGAAGAGTTAGGTAGTAGATAACTCATCATTAACTTTTTATTGCCAAATTCTAATTTCCTCTCCAACAATACACTTCATCGTGTCTTAATAATAAATTCATCACTAATCAGAAAAGTCACCGTTAATAGAAAAGGTTACAATCCATTCAATGTGAAAAAAGGTTATTCAAATTGCATCTTTTAGAGAAAAAAAGACTTCATTTACCACTCACACTTTTCCAACCCCAACAATTAGGTCATGCGACACTTAACTTTTTCCTACATAATTTATGTGGGACAAGTCCTCTAAACTTATATTTTACCAAATAAGGTCATACATAATGACACTTTGGTCACAAATTTTCATTAAACGAGCAAAAATCAAAGACCAACCCCTATTAGGGGCAATCCGCGGAAATACTTGTCGTAATTCCAGGTAAGAAACAAATTCACAAAGTTTTCATGAACAGTAGAAACTTCTAAGCTAGTGCTGATTTTGATGGAATAAAAGATTTTTATCATACATACTCACACCTTATCTGGTCCTCTACCCTGCTAAGTAAAATCAAATCAGATTGTACACTCATGACATATTTGTGAATCCGATACAGTATAATACTAACGTGTGTTTGTGAGTAAGAGAGAGATAGAAGACCTGTTCAATTAGCTTCCGCTCGGATAAGAAATCAAAAGTGGAGACAAAAGCATAAGCGCCGGCGATAACCAAAGCCGTCGCTCCAGCATCCTGAAACATTGAACCACCATCTCCGGTAACATCAAAACCACCTAAACCGGCTGTCACCGGACCGGAAACAGGTCGGAAATTGTACGGCGAGAAGAAACGTCGGCGAAACGTACTAGTGTCGGTTGTTGCAGTGAGAGATGGAGGCAGATTTGAGAGGCGGAGATGACGAGGAAGAAGAGAGTGGGTGACCGGAGCTACCAAGGCGGCGGTAGTAAAAGGTCTGCTCATTGTAGCACACACAAAAGCTTGCATTCTACAATCTAAACATTATTCATTTTCGTCTTGACATATAAGTATAAAGTACTTAACAGAGATTTATTGAAAGAGTATTAAAAAATAGTTTTTGTGGCTTAGGGAAACGGGTTGCTAACTAAGAAAATGACCGAAATAGTATTAAGGAGTAGAGTAGATAGATTTGGTCCTGATATATCAATTACTAAATGCTAATCAATTTATCGTTGACCCAAAATATCTAATAAAGCAATAGAAAATCTATCTACCTATTCTACTAAAAGATATATTTCATATGTCTCAATTTATGTGACTTACTATCATTTTTAGTCAATCTAAAAAAGAATGATACATTTTTATATAAAGTAACAATTTAACTATAAAATGTTTATTTTATTAATAAAATAATTTACAGTCACACAAATTTCTATCATTCATTTTGGACCACAAGTTTTAAAAGTATTTTTTTCTTTCTTAAACCCTGTGTCAAATCAAAGTACCTCATATAAAATGGGACGGAGGGAGTAGCTATTTAACTGTACATAGAATCTATTTATTATATTTATTATTTATTACTTTTATATTTATATATATTAGAAGAGAGAGTTTGAGGCAGTTTCATGTCAGTTTTTTGACATTAAGTGAAAAGTGTGAGGGTATAATTGTCTATAAAGCATTTTATAAGATAAAGTTTGTTTGAAAAGGCTGTCTTTTGTGCTTTGATATTTGCACAATATTAATGACTTCAAAAAAGTACCTTCTTTTCTATAAAAATTACGGAAAATGCCCTACACTAAAGTGACAGTGAATATAGTGGGACCCATTGTATAATGCCTACACTATATCGTAGATGTGGGTCCTGTTGGTCAGTTTTTGTACATGAAAATATTCAAGTGGAGAAAATTATTAACAAACGTGTAGAACTCGAACATTTTGCGGTAATTAGTATTGTTTAGTGTTAATAAAATTAATATTAAATTGTCATATATTGTATAATTTTGCTCAATGTTTATTATATTTGAGAAAATCAAGGATATTTTTATTTTTTTGCAAATGTTACACATGAATCTCGGAAGTATACCAAAAATCAAGTAGCAATGTCCATTCTCATTTCTGTTGGACTAAACTGATCCTAAATATTTTTAACTAATGCCGAGATTTTATTTGTAGTACTTAATAATTTTCTTTTCGAATTAAGTTTCTCATGGCTTATTACTATGATTCATGGGTTAAAAATTCATTGTGTTTGTGTGTTTTCCATATCATCAAAATATTTATAGTCATAAGACGATCGATGAAAATTTTATGAGTCACGGTCACATTTTTTGAAGATGTAAATGAAATTATCGAAAGAAGAATTCTCTACGATGAGAAGTTCCCTAGCTGGAAGGCTTTGCACCGAAAATGAATGAATGAAATAGTAGAGTCTTAATAACAGTAAGGATCCAACACTTATTGAAGAATAGTTCAATTGTTTTTTTATACTCTCTTTATTCTATATTAACTGAATTTCTGAGACAGCGCATACTTATTAAAAAAAAAATTGAAGGACATAATTTAAACCATAATTTCCAAAATTATCTTTTGTAAATCATAAACATAACTTTGTAAGTAGTTCAATTTAACTCTTAAAAAATATCAAACTCCATTAAAGAAAAGAGCAAATATGAAAAAAATTTCAAACATCTATCTTGAACTTGGGACAATTCGATTATTTTGAACAATTAAAAAGATCCAGAAAACTCAGTTAATATGAAATAGAGGAAGTAATTAAGTAGACGTTACGAAAAGAAAGAGCAAGGTCACGAAAAAATAAAAATATATTTCTTTTATTTAAATATATATAGTGCAGTTTAACTAAAAAAAAATTCCATATGAGTTTATGCTATATATAACTTTATCCTAATATTTGTTATTTTGACAGAAATATATTAATAAGTTTGGTTTTAATAATATTGGGCCCGTGGTGACACGGGCCATTTTTTCTAGTCTTATTAGAAATGAGAGTGTGGGTATACTAACACTACATTTTAGAGTTTTACAAGAAATTTTGTTAGTTGTATTAAATTGAAAATTCTCAATTTTACCCTCTCTTTTTTTCCTAGATTAATGGTTTGTATTGATTTTTTGATCCTTCTCCTTTGAACATGTGTACTTTAAAGTGTTTTTTTTTTCATTCTCAAATCCTCTGTTCTTTGGAATTTTAGAATATATTCGTTTGACATAGTTGAAATTTGAGGAAAGAAATTTTTTGAATTAACCTTAGTTTCTTCTTGGAGACCATCATTTTACACAGTTCAATCTTGCGAAATAACCTCTGAAGTTGTCTTTAGCTTTCTATTTTTTTTTTCATTTTAGTTTAGTGTGTTAGGGATAAGAATTGTTCATATTTGATTTTACTCTTCATGTTTTATTGATGGAATCTATGTGCTTTTGGTGTTGTTATGGAATCTGAAGGAAGAACTGTTGGGTTCGAAAGTGATTAGAGCATCATGCGGAAGCTTACAATTGCAAATAATATAGTTGATAAATTAGATGACACATAAAACTACACTAAAAGACATAATATTATTATTGTATTTTTAAATACATTGAGTTGTTGTATACTGTTTTATATAAACTGCATCTTTATTGTTGCTTTTATATTGTATTGAGTTAAGTATCCATGAGTTGAGGTTGAGTTGAGTTGAGGTGAGTATGTTTCCTTCTTTCAATGTTCAAGTTGTTATGTTATGTTCAGTGTTCCCCTTACATGCTCGTACATTCAATGTACTAATGTCATTTGGTCTGCTTCATTTTATGATGCAGACACAGGTAATCAAGAGCAGCAACTGGCGCTCCGTTGATCCATTCGTGTTCCAACTAAGATTTGGTGAGTCTCCTTACTTTTCGGAGGGTTTCACATTGAGCTTACATTTTAGTTTTGTTTATTAAGATGTCGTGGGTCTTCTCCCAACGTACATCTCAGTTAGTAGATGCTTCATAGATAGTAGAGTTTTGAGAAGTTTGTTTCATTTTCATTTGTTAATGTTCTAGACTTGGGTTGCTTCTTTTGTCCAGTGAGTGTTTTTAACACATTTATGATTTATTTATTTTAAGAATATGAGTAAAGTTTCTACTTTTGAGTTTATCTATTATTGAGAAAATCTTTCGCTGAGAGTTGGGGCGAGCAATGGTTCTCGAGTGCTAGTCGCGTCTAGGATGTAGGCTCGGGGCGTGACAATATATATATATATATATATATATATATATATATATATATATATATATATATATATATATATATCAGGATTAAGAATATAAGTACATTTAATAGTTTAGAGAAGATGTTTTTGTCAATCAATCTAAAGGAACTATCTCTACTCGGTTCAACACATACAAATGCACTAGCACAAGAAGTTGGAATTATATCGCTTTCATAATCAAGATAAATTATATATAATCTTGTGCTACATTCGTACAGGTGACATGTCCAATTTCCATCTTAGATTGTAAACAAAAAACTTTATACTTATAAGAATTGATGTTTTAATCCTCTGTGTATAAGCTAAAATTCTATATACTTAATCATCTACTATCACTACTAAAAGCTGCCAAAAAGAGACGAAAAAAAGCATCTACTATCACTCCGACGCTTTTTTGGCCAAAAGCGATGCAGTCAATCTCGTCGTTTTTTGGCTCGACGTTTTTCCAAAAGCGACGGACTGCGTCGCTTTTGATTATTTTTTTAATTTTTTATTGAAGAATATGACGCCGTCCGTCGCTTTTTTAATTATTTTTTTAAAAAAAAAGAAGAAGTCCGTCGCTTTAATTAATTTTTAATTTTTGTAGAATCTTGAAAAGCGACGGACAATGAGACGCCGTCCGTCGCTTTTTTGGAAATAAAATTTTGAAAAACCCAAAAAAGCGACGAACTAAAGGACCATATCCGTTGCTTTTCTGGGTTTTAAAAAAAATTAAATTAAAAAAAGCGACGGACTAAAGGACCCTGTCCGTCACTTTTTTGAGTTTTAAAAAAAATAAAATCTAGAAAAGCGACGGACAAAATCACCCTGTCCATTGCTTTTTTTGAAATTTATTTTACAACAGAAACTGGCCTACCCACCTGCAAAAGCAATTCAATTCAGCCCCAATCAAACACAAAACATTATAAAGAAGCAACACAAAATATAAAACAACAAACTTAAATTAACATTCAAAAATATCTAAATCACAATTTAAAGACTTATAAAGTCTTTCAAAATTCGTTTCAAAATTACAAATAATTCATAAAGACTATATTTTATCAAGATTTCTAAAGTTCAACCTAATAATTAGTTCATAAATTTTATAAATTAAGATTTCTAAAGTTCACAACCTAAAGTTTAAAATCCTACAATAATTCAAGATTTCTAAAGTTCACAACTTAAAGTTCTAAAATTCCACAATAATTCAAGATTTCTAAAGTTCACAACCTAAAGTTCTAAAATCCTACAATAATTCAAGATTTCTAAAGTTCACAACCTAAAGCTCTAAAATTCTACAAAAATTCAAGTTCTCTAAAATTCACAACTTAAAGTTTCTAAAATTCTACAATAATTCAAGACTTCTAACGTTTCACAACCTAAAGTTCCTACAAAAATTCAAATTCTCTAAAGTTCACAACTTAAAGTTCTAAAATCCTACAATAATTCAAGATTTTAACTCTCACAACCTTATAAAGTTCTAAAATTCTACAAAAATTCAAGTTCTCTAAAGTTCACAAATTTAAGTTCTAAAATCCAACAATAATTCAAGATTTCTAAAGTTCACAACCTAAAGTTCTAAAATCCTACAATAATTCAAGTTCTCTAAAGTTCACAACTTAAAGTTCTAAAATCCTACAAAGATTCAAGTTTTCTAAAATTCACAACTTAAAGTTCTAAAATCCTACAAAGATTCAAGTTTTCTAAAATTCACAATTTAAAGTTCTAAAATTCTACAATTATTCAAGATTTCTAACGTTTCATAACCTAAAGTTCCTACAAAAATTCAAGTTCTCTAAAGTTCACAA